GTCACAGTCATTCTATTGGGGATCTGTCACCAGTCACAGTCATTCTATTGGGGATCTGTCACCAGTCACAGTCATTCTATTGGGGATCAGTCACCAGTCACAGTCATTCTGTGGGGGATCTGTCACAGTCATTCTGTTGGGGATCAGTCACCAGTCCCAGTTGTTTTATTGGGGATCTGTCACCAGTCACAGTCATTCTATTGGGGATCTGTCACCAGTCACTTATTCTGTTGGGGATCTGACATCAGTCACAGTCATTCTATTGGGGTCTGACACCAGTCACAGTCATTCTGTGGGGGATCTGACATCAGTCACAGTCATTCTATTGGGGATCTGTCACCAGTCACTCATTCTGTTGGGGATCTGACATCAGTCACAGTCATTCTATTGGGATCTGACATCAGTCACAGTCATTCTATTGGGGTCTGACATCAGTCACAGTCATTCTATTGGGGTCTGACATCAGTCACAGTCATTCTGTTGGGGACCTGCCAACAACCACAGTTGTTCTTTTGGGGATCAGTCATTAGTTACAGTCATTCTATAGGGGACCTGCCAACAACCACAGTTGTTCTGTTGGAGATCAGTCACGTCATTTGGTACAGGACCAGTCATCAGCAGCTCTGTTGGATACAGTCACAACTGTTCTTTTTGGTGCAATCACGGACATTCGGTTCGCAAACATTCACAGTCATTCGGTTTGCAAACAGTCATGGTTGTCGAAATTAATGACCAGTTATAGTCATGTTGCTGAAGCCCTCAAGAAAACTTGTAGTGATCGTATAAATATTTTGTTTAAAGCTCATATCTGTTTGGCAATAATGTAGATTATGTTTATATGACTGTGTCATTCATAATTATTTTCTTTAAGGATTAAACCTCTTGATATTTGCTAAAGTTTACAATAGACATTAACTTCCCAATAGGGTCAACATTTTCATTTGAAATCGAATGATGAAAGAATTAAGGGTTCCAAATACTAAAACAGAAAAATAATGAGATCAATATAAGAACTCGGAATACTGTTTTTTTTCAGCTCATTGTTCTTGCTTGTCTTAATAGTATACTACTGATACATAACGAGGCTGGGTCAACATAATCCAAAATATTTAACCATTTCATATAAGAGCGCTGTATACTATACTAAGACGTACATTATATTACACGGGCCTATATAACTACAGGGGCACTTTATCGTGTGAACTTTCAATATGTGTATCTAGTGCAAACTTGGATACTTCTCCATATCATCAGGATTAAACAAATATGTACACAGAGAGAAATTAAGCTCCATGTAGAGCTAAAAAAAATACCATGACACACTTTTAATTAACAAATCAAATGAACAGTAAGCTGTAGGTGAAATTCAGAACTAAAATGTGTGTTGGGGTGGTCATAGTCTGGTTCCATGTCTTGTTATAACAGCTTAAACACCTCGAGAGGAACAAGTCTCAATCAACAGTAAACTGAAGGTGAAATTCAGAACTAAAATGTGTGTTGGGGTGGTCATAGTCTGATTCCATGTCTTGTTATAACAGCTTAAATACCTCGAGAGGAACAAGTCTCAATCAACAGTAAACTGAAGGTGAAATTCAGAACTAAAATGTGTGTTGGGGTGGTCATAGTCTGGTTCCATGTCTTGTTATAACAGCTTAAATACCTCGAGCTCAATCAACAGTAAACTGGAAGTGAAAACCAGAAGCTGAAATATGTGTTTAGAGGATCAAACATCAAATGTTTGGTTATGATAACGTATGTGCTTGGAGAAGAGTTAAGCTCAATGCCAAACTTCGACGTGGCTCAATTGATTAACAGTCCAATTAAATGTTAACGTGATGTTCTTGCTTGTTCATAATCGTCAGGACTAGTGATGATGGCTTGCATTTAATTGGGCAATTTTAACTTTAACTGTAACGCCTGTGTCTCATCGTAATCGATTCGACATAACATAATACGACCCACGAATAGGAATTCCATTGACTGAAGTGAATGACCTCTGGTCAGTCGTTAATCTGTCTCAGATCCAGGTAGGAGACGGTAGTTACGTAACACGGACCGCTGGTCAATGGTTTTCTAAGTTTTGTAGTACATACCGAGGTGAACCCTTGCGAAGATCAACACTAAATAGGAATAAAACGATTATGCAAAATATTCGTCTAAGCCTGATATCCATCAAGTAGAAACCAGGTGGAAAATGTAATTTGATATCCATTCAATCGTAAGACTAAAATAGTGAGGAAAATTATCATTATGATTGAAAAGGAAACAATTTGAATATTTGAGCAGTAAATATAATAAAACCAATGTCATTCTTCGCTTCATTTTCTCATCATTCTCACAAATTCTCAATGGCACCAGAAGAACTGCAGATGCTTAAAACGTGTTTTTCGGGGATGACAGACATTATAGATTTCGGACTGAACCCTTAGAAACATCATCATTTGGTCAGAACCATCTCAGGATCACTTCGGGCAAGTTTGAGTTGAATCCAATCGGTGGAACTAAGAAGTTTAAATATGTGTTGTTAAGGAAAATCATATCGAATGAACACTAAATGATTGTCGTGACTGTCATGCACCGAAGTTTCGACGTGGTCGAAAAAAGTAACAATACTTTGTCAGCTTCCTTTCCTCGCCTTTCCCCGCCAGTTTTCAGCTCATCGACAAGTAAAGAACAACACTTGGTCCGGACCATCTCAGGATCATTTTAGGCAAGCTTGAGTTGAATTAGTGGGACTTCCAAGTGTAAAAAGTCAAAAACTTATACACGGAGCTTCTGGAGCAAGGCGGACGACGTCAGAAAAACGATATGACTCTCAAGTCATTAGTCTCTATCTGGTTTTACCAAAGTTATCATTTATAGAGTTATGGACAGTACTATGTCAAATTGAACATAAAAGATGTTCAGTACTTATGGTATCCTTCGGTTGTGCTCGCTACTTTGACAAACATGTTCCTTATGGTATCTTAGGTTGTGCTGCCAAATTTAACATGAGCTTGATCAGAATGAAGAACTAACATGAAAATATCCACTTAGCATTGGCTTTTAAAAAGTCCGTTGATGGTGGACGACCAGGTTCTTGTTTTCCTTGGAGGAAATATGAAACAGGTTGATCAAATGTACCCCGTCCTGAACAAAAGTTTCGAAAAACTTCTGGCATTGTTTACCTTAGTTACTACCGTCTGTTATCTACATCTCGTGCCCACATCACTAAACTAGTAACATTTGCTGTTATATACACAATCATCAGTCAAAAATCGTAATGACTTACTGGAGTAAACAATTGTACTACAATGTGCCCTCATAAAGTGGACAAAGTAACTGTTTTAATCTTTTACATCACTCGCAAGTATGGGTGTGCAACCTTGTTGGTTCAAAGCCTTCAAGCTCCATAATCATAAGCGAGCATCATCAGGTGTGATTTGAAATGCCATTTATATCTCGTGAAAGATGAACTTGACCCACGAGTTTTGCGGTATAAAAGGATGGGGAAGTTCCATTTAAATGTGAAATAGGAAATTAAGGTGGCCCAACAATGGTGAATATCACCTACTTCTTCGATTAGTTTTGCCTGAAAAGGCAATAATTATAAGTATTGAACAAAAATATAACGGGATATTTCAGGAATTGAGTGGACAAACGAACTGTGAAAACTGGTATGAAAGTATATACCTGTCCGACTGCGTCTTCCTTTCTTCTCTTACTCTATTCATTTTCTATTGTGTTTTTATCTCTCCATTTCCAAAGTATGTACATGTAGCAAACTTAATTTGATGAAAGTTTACAATATTGTAGATATGTTAGATCTATGTACAATGTAAATTTTAGGAAGTGTTTCTAAACCGTGATCAAATGTGAACAAATAAGACACGTTGAAAAATGAAATACCATCATTACACGTACATTATACAAAGGACACGTGTACCCAATTCAGTTCAATTCAGTTATTTTATTCTTCAATTTTAATTACATCAGTACTTTGATGGCAGTACACACGTGTATATAAAAGCATATATCACGTTTTCGCAAAATAAATTGACTAAGTATCATACTGGGTGTAAGCCCATTGTCCTCAGGTATCCGTAATAACTGTTTTAGGAACAAACAACTTCCTCCTATAATCTCAAATTTATTAGTTGACGAAATGGAAATGAGATGTGAATCTTCTGGCATATCTATATTCACCTTATCGCAATGTATTTCTCTAACATTATCATATAAAGGATATTTAGAAGAGTTGTATTTCTATTTCAATAAATCTTACAGGCACTTATTTTTGTTCCTTCGATCACGGACTAGTTCCAAGCCATTCTCACGGAATATGTATGATGTATAATAGCCGCACATATTTACACCAAAATTGACAACAAAATTTCTACTGCCAAATTTATGCATGTTTTGGTATTATCATATAGTTTACAAATTAGGTTTTGATGTTTTAAGTTTGGACAGCGAGTTTCGCAGGGACGTATAAGTATTACCACGGATTTATATATTACGTCCCTGCAATTTCAGTAATAACAGATAGTCGAATTGGTAACATCGTGAATATAAGCATATTGATATCTTTGATTATCGTTCATGCTATCAGAGACATACTTAACCTGGGTATACCAGTAGATGAATTTAGTAACGTCATTTTACAGATTTATTGTAGCTGAGATTATGGTAATGTCGACTTGATAATCGGCCATAGTATTGCATATTGAATACAGGTGGCGCTTTCATCGCACCTGCTAAGTTCACGGGTCATGCCCATTTATCATCTCGACATCTCTGTTAGCACAGATCACTGTTCTGAATGACAGTTGTCTTTGTATGCATTGCTTATAATTATATCAATTTAATCTGCAAATCAGAAAAATCAATTCTGTCAAAAAGATAAGTTTATGCATAAAAATCTATGTTTGTTTTTACTTATTTGCCGCCATTGTGACAAATGATGACGTCACTCATTAGTATTCCTCAACATGTGGAGCTGAATAACACGACCCTGTCATTACTGGAATCGTTACCTAGATGACCCCCTGTATCATGTTTACGTTTTCCAGCTCGAACGGTAAGTCTTTTATCCAAGAAATATCGGATATTGTGTATCAGCATGTTAGTTACGGATTCTAGAACATGTAAACAAAATGGTGGACAAGATTAAATCGGTAACTCGAGTACGACTGTCATGTTTATGACTCCAGTGGTCCAAATTATGTTTTTCTTCCCATACGCCCGAACAATGCGTCGTTCATGTTTCAGGGTTCCACCATTGTATAATTTGTATCGATTGTAAAACAAATGACGTCTGAAGGGACATAAACGGTGATCATATCGATAAATATAAAATTGTCGAATTGTTGAATGTTATTTTTGAGATGGGGAAGAAATTGAATTGATTGACGTAAACACAGAATATCCGCGTTTTTATTTTCTAGTACATATCGTTGAGATTTTGTTTTCACGTTCAGGAAATTTTATCTGATTGTTGACACCTATGAAGAGTGTCTATACCTACAGATAACGGCGATAAATATTACTCATTGTTCTATGTCACAGAGATGAGATATGGTTAGTTTATGTGATATGAAATACAACAACATGTTTTATTAATGACGAGTATAACACGTTCTCTTAATTGCTGCAAATGTACATAGGCCTTTATGTCTACTTAGGCGTTAACATTGTTACGTAATGTTCATTGCATGTTCTTTTAATTAAGCTTAGGTTATCTCAAAATTCTGATTAGGTTCCAAGATCTGGACCAGTGGTTAAGGTTATGTGATGAAACAGTACTTATGCATCTCTAAGGTATACTTGATATTTGCTCAATTTTTGAATCCATTCATAATTATTGTACAATTATAAGAAGACCACATAGGTACTTGTTAATGATTAATGAAATGTAATCAAACTCAGGTGAACATCTGTACTGTATCTGTATACATATATTTACAATGCAGGTCCTTATGGACACGTAACGCATTGGTTGGGGAGGGGTGCATGTTACTTTTTATTGACAAAGGTTTCAGTTGTGGCACTTTGATGGATTTCTCGTCAAACTGGTTCCAGGTGATAGTGGTGGAATGGGAAAGAATGGGTTCTTAAGTACTTGAGTTCTTGCATCTGGAACATACCTTCGCTATGATAAAATTACCTGATATTTCTCATTTTCACACTAGTGAATGTACAGGAACAGAAATAAAGAAATCAGTACATAACTGAGAAATAATAACATATGGTGGATTTAGATTAGAGTATCATTAATCATTAACTTTGTATACAGGTAACTGTTATATATGCAGATCTGTGAAAGAAATGGACAGAATAATTGCTGATCTAAATAGTAGTTTTCCCCATTTAAAGTTTATTAAATTTCACACAGTTGAAAACATTTGCTGTATTATAACTTGTGTTTCATCCCATCAAAGTTTTGAAAAAAAAAGTTAGGAATTGCTCCTCAATTTTCCAGCATTTTGATAATTTCATGTTAAGAGCCGATATCATCTATCATCATCATATTTCATCAAATTACCCTCATGTGTTTCATTGGTTGTCCATCTATCCATCCATCCATTCTGATACCCAATGTTATTGTTATCCATATTTCTTGAGAAGTCACAAGTGTAGATGGGTCATGATCAATATTTTCCTCAAATTTTACATGTAGTTTGTATTGTTCCATTGCAGTGAAAGGAAAAGGGGCAGGGCTCTCTAAATAATTTTACAACATAGCAGGTACAGTCATTGAGCAAATGTGTCATTGTGTAATAATGCTAGCTATCACCTGCGGAAAATTCTATTATGATTTCACTATGTACTTATCAATACATTTTGCTTATAATGTTAATTCTTGCAGTTTTATATAGGTTATCTGTGACTAGGTTTGAAGTGAGTTGCGAGAATCTTGGGAAGTTCAGTTATATAACTTACCAGTTTATAAAAAGCAAAAAAATGTACAGCCTACGGAAAGTAGGTAAGAACTAAGTAAGACATGTTTCACATCATTACACGACATATCTATGTATTTTTCAGCATAAAGGGGTCTGTATTTTATTTTGACTGTTGAAGTGATTATGGCAGTTTATTTGGAAGTACTTGATGGATCTTTCTCACATACCGTAAAAACCCATGTAATGTCCGCACTTTTTTTCACCGAAAATCAATCCAAAAAAGGGGGTGCGGACATTACAGAGATATAGAGGAAATGACACTTTTTTCCTTCCGACAATTCATATCATATCTCCTTGAATTGTGTTCTTAAAAGCCAAGCATACCTGATATTATCGTTCTATGGTTTTTTCTATGTTTCCTCAACCAAACATGATTATTTATGATTATTTATTATAGTTTCCATGGTTAATTCCTTCCAATTTCTCGTTACAGGTTCGTATTGTGTCGTCCTTCGTAATAGGAAGCCATTTTGTTTGACTTTGTCACATGAATAAAGTTAGAGTTATTCCCCTTTCCCCATTGAAAAAAGCATACCCATGAGCATATACAAAATAACACAACATTTTCATTCTACATTTTATTTACAAAATAACAATAAATAACATGTACAAGAATATTACATAAAATAAATAATCAGAAGTTTTTTTGATTATGGATCGTTTATCAGAAAGTCTTAATACATAGCAGGCCGGTTTAATAGCGTTTCTCGAAACCCCAGAAGTCGTCGTCGTCACTGTGGAAGAACTCCTCGGCGTTGAAGTTGTCTTCCTCTGTCTGGTCGTTGTAATAAATGGCGTTCTCGTCGTCTGATGGTGTGTCAGTAGGGTCAGTGGCGCCGTGGGTCATGGGCGGGTCATGTTACTGTATAGTTATCGTTAATTGGCTAATCACACGCTGTCACTCACTCACACTCGAGGTGAGGAGACGACCCAAGCTGTTTATAACACTGCTGGGCTAACCCTTATCAAAACACCAATTATCGAAATGAGGACTTGTCATACTGGTAAGCTTACTGTACCATTATGGAGAATAACTGTTGTTAGAAACAATTAAGTGAATTCTTGAATGGTACCTGTAAGTTATACACAATGCGACATGCTCTCGGCCATTACGACATTAGCGTACGTGAAATGAAATCGGCAGCTTCAATTTGCATTTTTTACCCGCGGACATTACATGGAAGGTGGGTTTTTTCCCCAGATTTTTGTGTCAAAAAAGGGGTGCGGACATTACACAGATGCGGACATTACGTGGGTTTTTACGGTAATTTGTATTTAAATGAGGGTGTCCCATGGTCTCCTGCTGTGTCTGAGATACATTAGGAAAAAAATGGCAGACAGATTGCCATTTTAGGTTTTGACATATGATAGCACTCAAGAGATTAATCTCAAATTTCATAGATATCAAACACCAAAGTTTCTCCATTTTCCCTTTTTGCTTGTTAGTAACTTAATGCAACAAAGTTATTGAGTATAATTATAAGAGCAAAGAAAAGGAGGTCCCTTTGTTTTAGTAGAGATGGTTCCTCCAAACTTTAATGCAAGTATCTTCTCATCATTGGTTTCGGTTGGCAATATGTTTTGGTATGGCTAACTTTTTTTAACTGTATAATGTGACTTTATTTTTAGATTATCATTTTCAATAACCTGCTTTCTGATTTGAATAAACAAGTGAGGTGTAGACGAGCTCATGAGAAAATAACCTGATTTGAAAAGATTGTGGTATGAAAAGTTAAGAAATTTGGCCCATTTCAGAAAAAAAGAAGAAATAATAAAATCTTCAATCTTACCCTTTAGATAAAGGTGCATATAATCACAGACATCTACCATTTTCTCTTGACAAGATTTGTTTTTTTTTTTCTTACATCTTACTGTCATTCCTGTTCTGTTTAGTGATTTGTTTATGTATAATAGCGTTCTTCTGTGCCATTCTTGGGCTATATATATATAGCTAATTCAATTGTCTCTGTGATATCACAAGTAATTGAAGCGTAGACATGCTAATGATACACATGATGATGTCTGTCACTTCAGGTAAGCAAATTTGAGGTTGTATTTGTGGATATCTTCCAGAAAAATACTGGTGTTTCACTGAACACTTTATTGAATAAAGTTTATATTATGAATACATTTCAATAGATTTATGTATTTGTTTGGTTGCAACTAATCGACGTAACATTGCTACCAAGATAAGATTGTTAAGGGTTCAGAAACTAATGTGGCAAGGATATCAGTCACAAAAATTCACCAAGTTTGCCGAGTAGAACAAACAATTTAAAAGTCCTAAATTAGTTGTTGTCACACGAAAAATAAGTAAAAGTATTATTGCTAGATGCATTGGTCTTGTATTATGCATGTCAATGTTGCTTGAAATGTAAGTGTATTTGTGGGCTTCTCATTTGAAATTTAATTCATACAGCTAGCATTTATGCAAATGTGTGAAACGACAATATTGTTAGAACAACATGTACACTCTACATTAAATTGGATTATTTTATTGTAACTTCGTCATAATTTATGTTCTAATGCATTCTGGCTAATTACGTAAATCATACAATTTATATTATGGACATTATAATCAACACAACAGGCCAGTTTTGTCCGTGGGTGTGTATAAAAATTGTTTTAGTAAATTGATTTAATCATTTTAGTAGATTATTTCATGTAATAGTTCACTAGTTAACAGCACAATAACATTTGATTTCAAAATATTAATGAAATTACACCGTGAAGAAATCAACTAATTTTATACAATTTGAGTTAGTTGATGGGAGTAAATGTATACTGCTGCCATTACTTCACTTTTTTAAGTTATAGATATCTAGCAAAATTCCAGCATGAACACTTAGTGGACAAGAGTACTTGTGTTTGTCAGCTATCTTATATTTTTGTGAAGTATGTCTGATTTAATTGTCATTTTTTTGTGTTCTCATACACTCTTGATATTTTCTATGTATGATAATTAATAGTAACTGTAATTGAAAGCTTGATTTAAATTTTCAAATTTTGGCTGAGTTTTTTTTTTATAAAAAGTGATTATAATTGAAAATATATATGAGACTCATCAAATCAATTATATATAGCTAGATCAAATAAAGTTTGAGTGAGTCATGTTATGAAATTATGAAAACTTCTGTCCGGTGTCTCGTTGGCAATGCATTACAGCTGTCATCTATAATTTATTAATTTCCAACATCAAAGTTTTGTTGTTGCAAAAGAGTCATACAATTTAATTTGTCAGTCTAATGTATAATAATAAGTTTAGCGAGTAACAAGAGATTTTTACTTCACTTGATATTCATCATGATGTTTGTCATCTTTAATAAGCATGATCACCAGTTACCAGAGGTGACAGTGTTTATTTGATTTGTGACTAAACACTAAAACCAAACATTGTGATGTATAATATATATGATGTGTATGGATATATTCTCATTATCTTGACTTAATTCAGCTAATTTCACTAGGTTTGTTTGTTTTTAGATTGATTTGGGGTTCAGAGTACCCAGACAGCATGAGAAGTACCAGTATTATAGAGATGATGTACCTTTTTGATGGAGTGGGACTAGGTGATTGAGGAACTCTATTGTAGACGCCAGATGTACATTGAGGATGTTCCTGAAAATGTTGTTTTTTAAGTGACAGAACATTTTATTGTTGTAAGATGTGAACGTAGAACATAACTTTGGAAATATGAAATCAAATAATTTGTTTCGAGATCAGGTGAACTCGGTGACTAATTTGTTTGAGAAATGGAGTGAATGTGAACAGACAGTGGCTCTATGTACACTGTTTAAACAGATTTCTCCTACACAATGCCGATTCCTGGCTCAAGTGTTGGACCAGACGGACTGTACAGATATAAGCCAGACGGAGAATGAGGCCAATGATCCAGGTATGCTTTTCAATAAAGAGACCAACATGAAGAACACCATCAATATATTTTTGGATTACTTTAGTATTTGTATTGCTTTAACCATTTTTTATGTGAAAATATATTGATAGGTAGAAGAGAGCTGCAAAAGTGAAATAATCATATCTGAATAAGATCATACAGTGTCATATGTCTATTTGTTGAGTGTTCTTAGCTTTTCCAAATAATTAAAATCTCATTCTCTTACAACTTGTCTTTGAATACCCAATCTCCAATATTTTTGTTGAAATTTTTAACATCCTTCTTTTACAGGATATATTCACAAATTGGCCAACAATGATTCCAAAGAGTATACTATTGGACAGCTCCTAGCTCATCTTCCACTGCTCCGAACAGGAGAAAATCAGGCCAAGGTTGAATATCTATCTTTGATCTCATCCATATTGGGTTACACAATTCAAAATGGTACTCATATTGAAGAAAGTCGGCAGATTATTTCATATTCATTGATGCATCCTGCAATTACAAGTGATGAACGTTCAGAATTTACCTTATGGATTGGGAAGCTAGAAGAACAGTTCACATATAGTATTCATCCTCAACAAAAGAAGTCTGTGAAAGATGAGGAAAGTATTAGTCAATCTCTAGGGAACTTGAACTTAAATTTCAATGCCACACACAAACCAGTTGAGAGTGGGAGAACAAATGGCTGGCCTGTACACCCACCGGGAGATCCCCTTGTCATCAACACGATGGACCCAATGCCTGTCCCGCCTAATGATCTCCTCATCACTCAACAAAATCTCATCAATCAGCGACAACATCAAGTACCCCCACCTCCACCACCTAACAGTAGTCAAATAAGCTACAATCACACTGCCTGCAAGTCACACCATCCACCTCTCCAGCCAACTAAATCAGCTCCACCCAACTTCATATCAGTGCCTTCTTCACAATCTTCACGTAAGTTTGTTCTTTCAAATATATGATGTCAACTCATTGTTCTGTCGTATTGGTACTATTGTAGATTTGATTTTCCTTGTCATTTAGACATCCTCAGGTATCTAATTCCTACTGCATTGTCAGTTAACTTTTCTATATTTATCAGTTAATGTAATTGAACAGGTAATTTGAGTAGTTATTTTTCAGAATAAATCTACACTTGTTTATATATATATATCTATTTTTTTATTTTGCATTCTTTGTGTTTTCTTTAGTGAACCCTGGTTCACGAGTTCATCAGCCATTAGCGAGGACCCCGTCGGTGTCAGTGGTACCTCCTAGCTCCATCCTAGTGCCAAACCACATCAATGACTGGCTACAGTCAAGTGAGGATCAGTCCTCACATTCCTCATCTGATAGGGGGCGCTCACACTCCATGACTTCATCAGACCATGCTCCACTTTCCCCACAGAGCAGTATCACATCCTCTAGTAGCAGTAGTGGCGACACCCATCAAGATGATGGTCCACAGCCAGTCAAAAATAGCTTTCTGGAGGAAGGCAGTGGAATGAGGGGTAAGAAGTTAGGATGTATACTCTCTTTTATTGTATTGTTTCGGTCAGATATTTAAGTTTACTGAAAACTGCTTCACTGCTTATATCACTCAAGATATTATATCTGAGATCCTTCATGATGCCTATAGCTGTTTGATGTGAAAAGTTAATAATGGTCAAAAAAGTTTTAGTTTCTTAAATTGATGTGGATGTTTTGTTGTTAAAGTAACCGTTTATACTTTAACACCGAGTTTACAGGATAAAATAAACCCTATTACATGTATTGACAATGACTGTGATTTACTGATTGCACAGATAGTGTTGACGGCTTTGAGTTAAGAATATTTAATGTTCTGAATTTTACAGATGTACCTTTATGGTTAAAAACTTTGCGCCTTCACAAATATGCCTATATCTTCCAACAATTAACTTATGAAGAAATGATGAACCTGACAGAGGAGTGGTTGGAATCTCAGGTACAATGGGTTCGTCTTTTTTTATTGGTTGCAATTTTTACCTGTTTTTAGTTTAAATTGTCACAGTTTTCCTACATCATCGGAAAAGATTGTCTATTGATTAATTATAATTGAATCTATTGTCTGTATCCCGTTTTATCTTGGATGTAATGATATTTGATTTTCAATGATGTATTTCACC